TTACTTACTTACTTACTCACTTGCTCACTTTCTTACTTACAGAAGGCGGTGTTTAGACAACACTAGATACCAGTGTACCAAGAGTAATTAGGGATGCCACAGACAACTGACTTCACTCACCAACCTCACAAGAAGACAGTTCCCATTCTGGAGCACCTTTGCTCTGCTGCTGTTTATCATACAGGCAAATGGCAGCAGCTGTATTGCAGTGTGGCAGCCTGTATTCCCACCCCTGCATGCGGAAGCCAAGGCCATGATGCACTTTCTCAGAGGCCAGGCTTTCTGGGATCCTACAGAACTTTAATTAATTTAATTCTACATAGACTCATAACCTCTGCTTCCCAGGCAGGAAGGAGCACTCTTTCTGGAGAAAACAGGGCTATTCTGGCCTCTCATGACCACTGGCTCTCTGTGCGGTGAGGGAGTCATCACCCATGATTGGTGGTTAACCACACCCAGGCCCATGAACATGGGATTGTAATGAGGTCTGAATCCTTATGCTTCCCTTCCTGCCTGAGCCCAACTTTTCAATACAGTGCCTGTCTCCTGGAAGAAGATGTAGAGAAAATGGAGTTGCTGTTGATTTATTGAAAAATTCGATACAAATAATTTGATACAAATATTAATGCTTCTCATAAAGAATATTCTTATTCTACCAGTTGGACCTGTCAGTTTATAAAAGATTGGGGTTCTTCAAGGACATACATCTATCTCAGGGCTTGTGTTGAAGGTTGGGCATAGTCAGGCCTCTGAGAAACAAATTGTTCATTGAGGGTAAAGAAGGAAATGATCCCAGGCCTCAGTGTGTTTTCATTCATTAAAACCTTATTCAGGTCTGACCCTTGCTGCATGTCATGCTGAGAGCTATAGTGGACAGTGAAGAAGGAGATGAAATCATTTTTACCACAAGGAATTGATGTTGTTAAAGAGGAAATAATGTTTCGTTTCTCCAGCATTTCTTTCATTTCAGTGGTGTACTGTGGACTGTTGTGGACCCTTCAGATGGAGAGGAAGTGTGGAAGAGTAGTAGTAGTCACAGTCAAACTGCAAAGAGATGAGTTTACTAGACATACTGTTAAATCTCTGAGGCAGGATGAAATCACTGCAGAATTGAGTGCTAAAACAGGGGAAACAATAGGATGGCATAGCCCTAGAGCAGATGGCAGACCACGGCCCTGTGTGTGAACTTGCTGCAAATTGTGTCCCCAGTGCTGTCAACCTCATCCTCTCTCATACACACCCTGGTGGAGAATGGTTCCTTGTTAAAGGGGAATTCATTGGATGTTTTAGGACTCAGTGGTCTTTGAGGATGTGGCTGTGGACTTCTCCTCAGAGGAGTGGGCTTTGCTGAATCATGTGCAGAGGAAGCTCTATAGAGATGTGATGCTGGAAACCTTCAGGAACCTGGCTTCGATAGGTAAGGACGACATCATTCCT